TTCAACTTTTGTGTTCCTGATAACTTAATTTCACTAGGATTAGGTAAACCCAGCAATAAAATAAATTCTCTTCGTAGGTAGAAAGAAACAGGAACACAAAGAGTTAAACAATCTACGTTCAACTACGAATATTGCAAATTAATTTAACATAAAACATATCTCTATCGCTTTCTTTTCCTCTTATTTACATGACGCACGCGCGTGGATTACCGGGAAGGATACAATACTATTGAAAGAAAGTTGGAGAGAGAGTTCAATACGCAATTATATATGCTTCATCGACACCTAGCGAAAGAAACCTATGCATTTAGGAGTGAGCTGGAAGGCGATATAAGCACATCAAAAATATGTTTATTATTGTGATACAATGATCCAGGATCTCCTAATAGTACGCAACACACGCATCCATCTCTTCGAGTCGATACGCTTTATAATGCATCCACAAAACGATAAAACTGTCTCAAAATATTGATGGGAGTTTGTTCAATTATCCGTATTGAACTCGTGACGAAATTATTCTAAACCTAAACCTCTATTTTAACTCAGAGATACGCAAATGAGAAACGTAGACCTCGATTTACGCGGATAATTCGCATCGTAAGGTAGTTGATATATCGACACACGTTAATAAAAATCGACGAGTTCTTAGATGTACGATTTCATGTGAGGATTACAATAATAGCGAGAACAGTGTAGTATCGCAGAGTACACTTCGCGTCTCTTCGCGACGAAGATTAATGTACTTCTTGCATCTTGCACCAGACACCGTACATCCTTATATTCCCGTCGCATAGATGAAATTGCGAACGTTTTAGTGGCTCGCAACGTCCGAAAGATTTATTATACATAATTTTACTATATATACAATTAAATATACTTTTCGAACTTAACTGTGCTAAGGATAAGCAATAATTAATGAGCTATTAAACAACAGAGACCGTTGTAATTACACTCTTGAATAGATACTTTGTTAGAACCTTAAGCGTACAACTCATTGTGAAATAATATAAGGCACTGTGTTCGAGTGTGCTTAAATAATTAAATATTAGACCTACAAAATAATTTATTTACGCCGCGATATGATTGGATGCGTTATCGTCGATGCAATTAATACACTTCAAAGGATAGTTGTGATTTACAGGTTGTACAGCGTACTAATAGAGACCGTTATAGAATACAACGTGAGAGATACCAAAGAAATAAAACATCTTCAAAAATATACGTACTTTTTTAATTAATGATCCAAAGCGCCATGTGTATGTGTGTGTGTATGCTGACACACATATATAATCGAAATTAAATCCTCGCATGCTCCATATCTTTACATTAAATAGTTAACACACTTCGACAATACATCCGCTATTTTCTTCTGCAAGAATAATGTTGTACTCTTCGTTACTCGCGTACATATTTTCGTCACGGTACTCGTTACTGCAACGGGGCTTCGCTCTCCTGAGTGTAACTCTTTACCCTGCTGAATTTAAGAGGCGGATACCTGCCGCCAATCGGTGACACCCTGAATTCCCTTACGGATGGTTCTTTCAAACAAAGCTTCACCTCATTCCCGTTTCTGTATTTTGTGAAAATACTGTAACTGACCCACTTCAGTTGCGAATTCACTCGCCTATGGTGGTTCTGTATCTCGAATTCCTAGAATGAAAAACGTTGTGAAGATATATTGATCAGTTTTCTCATAAAATCTTTCACCATATTGATGTGTACTTGGCTCTTTTTATTTACTTACAATATGAAACGTTTGTTCGCCACTGTCATGTACCGGTTCCCTTTTATTCCGTCTATATGCGAAATTAACTGTTTTAGTCTCTTGCTTTTTCAGCACCAGTGTAACGAAATTATCGTGTAGTCGATAGTGCCCGATAAGAACCGATGAGTTGCGAGGTACATGGCTTCGTAAAGAATTCACGCAGCTTTGAGCCTCGTCGGTGGATGTCAGCATTAAGACTCTTCCCTCGGGAAAAAATCTAAATACAAAAAGCAAAATAACAGTGGGGAAGGGAAATTACATGGATTCTAGTAACAGTATTAACATTTATGTACCTCAGGTATCTAAAGTACTCGACGAGATGCCACGGTCGGTAAAAACGATCCTGGAAACTGTTTTCTCCATCACGAATATAGCTGGTTTTGCTAATATAACATCCATTGTATCTTAATCTAGGCCGTTGCAAATACATATCCCTCCATGATTGGTACTTTGGCTCACAGGTACCACAATTTACACCCCATATCCTGTCGTAAATCATGAAAGTTAAACATTGGTTACGAGGTAAACGAACACATACTGATCTATTGTCGATGTTTACCTTACACAAGCCAGTCGCCAGATTTCCTTGTCTCGTGCGGATATGTAAAACCCGCGGCATACTCTCGAGAACATTTCCAACGACCGAAAATCTAGGTCGGAAGACACAACCCATCTTAGAATGTAGAGCACTATTTCTGTTGGCAATGCAGATATATGTGTTGTCTGAAACACAAAGATAAATATTTTTAAAAAATCACTTATCATTTAATATATAATATTATACAATCATGTATTTAAAGATACATAAAATGGTCTAAAAATAAAATACTTACATTTTGCTCAAATTTGGGGAAACACACACATTGATTGCGATTTACAATTCTAGACAACTTGCTAAATAAATCAGTTTCTTCTTCATCAACCTCAAAGTAGTTCTCACTGTCATTTGTTGAGAGATCATTGTTTAATGTATCCAAACTATCGTCGGTATCAAATTTGTCCCTTACTTTTGTTTTTGTTGATTCATACAAACGAACTTCAATATCAGGGACCAGTTGCACTGCACGCTTATAAAACTGAATAGCCTCATAAAATTTTCTGCTCTGCTCGTGCTCGATACCTTTGAGGAATAGATTCTTCGCCTAAAATATAAACATTTCATGATATGGACATCTAGAAAATTGTTCGTTGTTACATAACTTTCTTATCAAGCATCATACCCTGCTTTCAATTGAGGCCTCATCGCTAGTGACCTCAATGTTAGGCTCTTTTGGTGAATATGACCTCGGAGTGTCACGTTTGGGTGATATTGTCAACTCTCGCTGCCACTGTTCCCTGAAAGATGTTAAGGCATCCTCAATCTTTGTCTCCTCTTGTCTCAAGGAAGACGCCTCCTGATCATCGCCTTCATCGGTGTCATCACTAGATCCACTGCAGTGGTTCTGCCAATGCATGAAGCAACAAATATTTAAATTGCTAAAACCCGAAATGACAATTTATTACTCATACAGATTGGGATAAACTTTAAGCGTCAAGTGAAAGGGGTGAAATGCACGATGATGATCCGCGTGTCGTGCAAATGACGCAGCATAAAGAAATGACGCAACATATTGTTGACGATAATACGTCGATATTGGCTCGAGACAAGGTTAGGGTTGCAGTCGGATATTCCGGCGTACGATTACGTATTTATCTCGCGGCGACAGTCGCGGTCGTTTACGTTTTCACATACCATTTTCTCGTCCTATTCAATCACGTTGGTATTTTTCCTTCAGCGCATGTACTCTCGGTCAGAAAAGCGCACGACACAGCGAAAGCACAATTTCGCCAATAGTACCGCCGCCATGGTTCTCGCTCTCTGCTACGCGTTTTTTCGGCTCGTCGAAGAAAGGCGAACCGACGAAGGTCATTACGCGAGCGACGTGCACTGTTCGACTCCGCTGATGCAATGTAGACACATTGTTCTCTTTGCAATGTCGTTGTCATTACCGTAATTATTGGTTTACGCTCATCGCACGAGGTTTGAGAGGGGAGATGACCTCTTACTTTTAATTACTATTTAATTAATTAAGCCATTATATATATTAGTGCTGTAAATTGTCGATCTGATGTATGAGAAATGTAATTCAAGATGTATTTGATGAATATAAGTATAAACAGCGCACAAGTACAGACGATATAACATTCGAAAATTATTCGAATTAAAATTCAGATGTTAGGTATAAGTGAATGAATATCCTCTAGTATAGACACTTGAAAGTGTATTTGGTTATGTTTAAAAAATATAACGATATATATATATATATATATATTCAATTGATAGAAATGTTATACAAATGTTATACAATTCGAACAGAAAAAGGAGCCGTTTTTACATCATACAGTACTTTGCATACCATCGTTTCAGTCACAATTTCACATTTCACTACCTTTTTCACTCGCTTTCAAATTTTAATATACTCTTATCTTATCTCGCCTTGAATGCAGAAAGTGCAGTTAAGAAGATGAACGGACTCATGATATTTCCGATCGAAGTTAGAACCGCTTCGAGATCGATATGAGATGAATAATGACAACTGAACTGTAAAATAAAGAAATTAATTTCATACAACTTGAAGATTAAAATCTGTAAAAACCTGATTAAAACAATCTATATCTGATAAAATTAATATTAATAAAAATTAAAGAAATCAATCGTATCAATCATCGATCGTGGGCTCATCGAGAGTAATCGAGCTTAATCGATTCGAGAGCGCGATCCAAATCAAACTTCAGTCGGAATCGCCTAAAAGTATGCGCGGACTACTTCAGTGTATCAAGCTCAAGCATTATTCGTTCGTCCCAAGTTGAGATCAGATGCGAATATTTTCTCGACTTATCTCGATTTCTACATACATCGGAAGACACTGGAGGAACGTGGGAAATCGCTTTGGAAATATGTCACGGGAACGTGGTGACGTTCAAACGAGCGGCCGAAAGTAGCGAAAAATACTGGACATCGAACCTACCTACACACCGTTCGGTTGTTCTTCTTCATCTTCGATACACGTACATGTAGCGAAATGCGTACGCGTGTTAACATCGGTGGGGTACCCTGCGACGCAACCCCACCTCCTTCACGAAACTATCACTGCCTCTACCTGTCTGCCTGCCTGCCTGCCTACCTACGAGATCATCTTCCCGAGTAAAAGCCGAGAACCGAACGAGCCTGGACACAGACAGCATCATGCGCTTGGTGAGTACGAAACCACTAATTCACTTCTGATTATCGCTTTCCCACCTGGCTGGAACTTTCCTCCGATTTTCTCTTCTCTCTTTCGTCACGCCTGATTTCTTCGCCGCGTCGGTATCTTTCTCCTTTCTTCTTTTCTCTCTCTCTCTCTCTCTCTCTCTCTCTCTCTCTCTCTCTCTCTCTCTCTCTCTCTCTCTCTCTCTCTTTCTCTCTCTCTCTTGCTTCTTCTTCTCACTTCTTTTTGTTGCTATCTCGTTCGCGATTGTGGATTACAAGTCTCGTGCTAAGTGACAGTGAATCAACTAATGTTGATCGATGAGTGCAAAGTGATCAGCGTTTAGGGGAAACCCACAGAGCGTGTTGAGGCGCACGTTGTGATTAAGAAGCGTTCGCTTGTGTGTGATATCGTACGGTCGCGCAAATATTTTTTAACGCGACAAACACACGAACGATTAACACGATAAATTAGATTATCGTTCGATGCGTGCGATTGCTCTTTTGAGATACAACAGCTCGAATGCGGAAAAATATTTCACAGAGAAGAATATTCAGCTGTTTTCGAGTCGTCAATTTGAACAAAACGACACAAACGAAAGAACATTTGATTCGCAGGTACAATAGGTCCTGCGTAGAAGTGTGCTTTCGCATCGATGCTCGAGCAGACACCGAGTTTCTACCTGGAGGAAATCCGCGACACGAGCATTTCACGGCTACTTTCTTCTTCCGTCGTACGTTTCGCGATTCTTGGATTCGCGAGCGAATATACGATGTGTCGCTCGAGCGGAAGAGTAGCTTTTCTACTTAACAGTACTCCGCGAATGGCGGTAATCACTTGACCAACCGGTTAGCCCGATTAGCGCGATCCTCCGTGCAACTTGTCAATTAATATCAAACAGTAATTTCGGCGGTTTAGCCGCTGTCTCAGTGAAAACATGTTGCTGTCCGTGTATGTGTGTGTGTGTGTATGCTAATATGCTACGTATTAGCAAATTACGACTCGACATCGATGCGAAAGTATCGCCGCGCGTTGTGAAATTTCCCACGTAGTCCGTCGTGAAATTTTGCAGGTAGCGATCACTTTGTACAGGAGAAGCGAATAATTTCGTCGATAATCAAGCGTTCCTCCAAATCACACTAAAGATACCGGCTCGCTTTCGAAAACAGCCGCGTTAAACGCTAATGCAATATCTCTCAATCCTTCTCGCGCCTCGCCTCTCGAGAATTCACGATGACCCATAATAACGGTTGTCGAAATAAATCATGAGGAAAAAAACCGAACGGACGGATATCACGTTGTTTCGATTGAAATTAATGAGACGGCAGGAGGAGAGAAAATAGAGAAAGAACGATCGCACGCTTTGCGGGCCGCAATTCGAGCTCGTCGGAATCGCGTCGGCTTCGCGCTCGTGGCCGCGAATTCACCGCGAAGTGCTGGCTCATTACGAGAATTCACATTAAAACGAAGTGGCGTGCTCCGGCGAAGTTGCTGGACCGTCCGGTAGATCAATTTCTACTCACACACGAGGGGCGGGGGGGGCAATTTCTGCAACACACGCGAGCGTGTTAAATATATATATTCCGTAAATAGCAGCGCTTCTAACGACCCAGTTGTCATGTGGTACGCGATCGCGTGTGCGTATATATTAATTGAGTGTTAATTGAATAGTCGGAATTACGATGGGATCGCGGGTCGAAATCGAAATCGAAGGTCGACCCGCTAGTTGGTAGCTAGTCGATATCGATCGCCGCGTGCTGTGAAAATAAAAGAAGAAAAAAAGAAAAGGAAAAAGCAGATCGTGAGAAAGAGAAACAGCGAAAGTTTCTTAATCCGAAACGTTATCGCCCGTCACGGTCTATATATTTATCCGATAAACGCGCGTGCTCTCTCCCTTTTTCTCTCTCTTTCTCTTTTTCTCACGAGACGCACGATTGTCTTTACGGAACGCAAAAAGTCTGATAACGCTTGCTATGTGCATGCACGCGTGTGAGAGCGCGTCTGAAATCGGCACAGGGTGTGGTTTAGAAACGGCCGATTCGAAATACAATCTGATTCAGTCGGCCGATCGTCGTCGGGTGGGAGAAGTATCATCCGAATAGTCCGGGATGATTTTTACGACTCGTGCGTGCACTTAGGCGAAAGCGGATGATATTTGAGAAACAGGTTTCCCCTCGCGAATTCAGGCTTCCTCTGAAAAATGTCGGATATGGTCGCCGTCCTCTGCGACTTCTCTCCATTTTCATCGGCGACTCGCGGCAGATTAAGAGAGTCAGTGTTATCTCCATCGCTCGCTGTTAATGTCGATGAAATTTCCTCGTCCTCTAATCGCGCTGTGTCGCGCGTAACATTCAATTACATTGTCAGCCTGAAGGAGAATCCTCAAGCTGACCGCTCGACGAGTCCTTCATCTTCGTACATAGTCACGGCGAGCGCGGCCGCGACTCGTTTTCCTCTACTTCGTACCGGGAGAAAGTAATTAGGGATCGATGACGAGGAACATGGGTGTGGAGTATTGTACGAATGTCTGGCGGGTTCGACGACCTTCGAAAGCAGGTGGCATGCTTTTTCGAGCCGTTCCCGAAGAAAGAGAGTTCTCCGCCTCATCTTCTTCTCCTCTTTGACTTTCCCTTTCCCATTTTTCTCTCTCCTCCTTCTTCCCCCCCCCCCCGCTCAGCCTGGCGATCCGTTTTCCATCCATGAGAGATAGACCAGATTCCGGTGTTACACGATGGGCGAGATCGTTACGAAACACGAGGCGCTCGAGGATAGAATCCCGAAGTGCGCGGAACTTCTGATCGAGAACAGCGCGCACGTAACAGCCGCGGACACGCGGCCAGCCGGGCATTCCTCCGGCTGCGTGCCACCTCGTTTGAATGGAGAAGAGAGCTTTCCGGTCATTTCGTAAGACGCCGCATCGGCGCGGCGTCTCTGATCGGCGTCCGAGTCGCGTGCTCGTTCGCGAGAACGAGCGCGGCCGGCTGGCCGGCTGGAAGGCGAGGAAGGACGCGCTCCGCGACGTTTACGACTTCCTTAATAACCGAATGCGGCTTCGCGCGCTTTAGCTCCGTTAGACGGGTGATTTTTCGTCTGGAAAGTGAGGAACACGAGTGTGCGACTCGCACATCGCGCCGGCGGCGAGCCGGCTTCTCCCCGCGCGGACCTTTCCTCGCGATTCCACCGACCTTTCGTCGGGGCGATCACTCTGCACGACATCGCGACATTGTGTGCAAGACACACAATCGCCGAGAGACAGAGGCGCCGCGCTCCCACGCGCCGCGGATTTTTCACGCTTTCCTTCGCCCGAGAGTCCGAGAGACTTCGGACGCCGCCGATCGAGTTTCTATCCTCCCGATAACTTTCCCGATCCTCCGCGATGGGATACCATCGATCACCGGTGGGTATCGCTCGCTACCGCACGATGTGGAACGCCAATTATCCGCCGCGCCGCGCCGCGTCCGAGCGGCCGTTCCACCTGACGCACGATCGGCGATTCGATCCTGCGAACTGCGGGTCTCTCGATTCATAACGCCGCGTTGTTGCGCGGAGCGTTCCACTTCTCCGCTCCGAGCGACGCACTATGGGACCCTTACACTTTGCATCCTTTTTCTGGCCAAAATCTGGATAAAATTCAAAGTGAATGTCCGTCTAACATCTAAACATTCTAAAAGTTTCGACAAATAGTCTTAAAACACAAGAAAATATTTGAGTCAATTTGTTCCACGATAAGCATGTTTTTCCTTGCGTTTTGTATTCAGAGGTGCGCGCAACTTTTGCACTAAAGTTGCAAAACGACTCATTTCTTTGAAATTTTTTATCTCTTTTTTAACTCTTAAACCTTACGCACCACTGTTTTAAATACTTTTTTTAGCACATATTAGTGCTTCAAAATAATAATAATAAATTAAACTTTGAATATTACGGATGAGAAAATCTTCTATATAAAGTAGGAGAAAATAAAGATTTAACCTGTTTCTAATATTTGAAGGAGCAGAACTTCCGGCAGAACAACCGATAACAAACCAAATTTTGTCTCATATTTTAGGTGGAACCTTAATCTTCTTAAAACCGTTTAAGAAATTTGCAGCTAAGCGCAACTTTGTGAAATATAATTTTTACAAGCAAAGATCATTTTAACCAGGTCACTGGTGAGCCGAAATCAACGTTTTGTGCCAAAACTGGTAAGAGCGAATAATGTCGTATTTTATATGTAAACTTATCTATTAAAGGTTTTTTGAGTCGCTGATTACGAATCTGGAGTCGAAATTTTAAAATTCAAAACGGCGAATTCAATATGGTGACTTCAAATGGCTAATTTTTATATGATATTATGGATATGTATCAAACTCGGTTTATGTACGTATGTTTGTTCGATCACAGATGACGAATACAGAGTCTAAATTAAAATATTCAAAATGGCGAATCCAATATGGCGACTTCAAATGACTAATTTTAATTTGATATTATAGATTTGTATCAAATTCGGTATACACTCGGTATACTCATTGTCAGTGACTCCCAAAACCTGGATCTCATTTTTACGCAAAACAAATAATTATTACGATTTCCGGCCGCCACATTGGATCTGCCATTTTGCATTTTTAAGTTCTTGATATCAGATTCAGGATCAGCGACCCCAAATACCCCTGTGTATACAAATTTACCTCATAAAAATTAATCTTTATAATTTTGGCCAGAAGAAAGATACAAACGTCCCATAGTGCCGACGGCTTCTTCCTCTCCGCGGCGAATTGGCGCGCGGACGTCCTCGGGCTCGACCCGACGCCGACGTGCATTTTCCCCGGCGAAAACGCCCGCTCGATGCCAGATCTGCGCGTTATCCAACGCCAAGGACTCGTTGTATAATCACCGCGTACTTGGCGACACTACCGAACCGCGCTTTCACGCGTATCTTCCTTGCCATTTCCGCGTTTCTGTGCCTGCCGTCCGAAATATCGTCGTAACTTGTCCCCAGTCCATCGCTATCAGAGATATTCTGCTTCCTGAG